TTTTTATTTTTTTTTTTTTTTCATTAACAATTTATTAATACGAGGTTCTATAAATGCATTAATTGATTTCATTGAGTCTTGTTGTTTCACATAGTTTTCATTCATGACTTTAGTTCATATAAATGTACCTACATATACGCTTTTACGCATACTCAACTCCTTCTTTCTTATGTTGTTAAAAAACCAACTTGTGGATCCATTTGAAAAATGTAAAATGTTCATTTAACAGTATTCTATCATACAAATAATTGGGAGATTTCTACAGATAATTTCCTTATAAATGCAATTTTACGAATTTTTTCCTAAGGTTACATGTTTAACTAGGATTTAAAAAAAATCAAGTATACTAAAAACAGTAATGATTAATAATAAATAAAATAATGCTCCAGACGGTGAAGTGTTTACGAAGGGTGTGCTGTCTGGACAAAGAAAAGACAGTTTTTTTTCTGGAATTTTTACAGACCAAGCTCATTTGACAAAAACTATCAACACAAAGATTCATTTCATAGCCGACTGAATGCTGATCTAAAATCATTACGCCTTACAAAAGTTTTTTTCCAGCAGTACAATCCACTCCCTGATGCTGTTGAAAAATTTATAAATATTGCTAACGGTGTGAGTGCTACCAAGAAGGCTAATTGTCATAATCCATTTGAGCAAGGTATAAAAATAATACAGGATATTTCTGGGAAGAGCTTCAAAGATTTAAAATTATCAAGACCAAAAATCATAAATAAGATCACTTCTGCGAATTCGAAAATAACCATCGACAAAAATGCAGTAAAAATTGATCCTGGTATTTTATTTCATCAAATCTATGTTATTAAAAAAATCGAAGAAGAAATAAAAGATTTTTTAAAGAGGGAATCATGGCTTTTTTACAAGCTCGTTTCAACAGATTTGAAACGCTGAAAAGTAAAAAATCCGATCTATATTTGATTTTCGCAAAAATTAACGTAAGCATGTGCGATCCGGTAAATACTATTTTTGAAATTGATGGAGGCTCTTTACTGCACAAGGTTAAATGGACACTAAGGCAAGTTTTTTCGTCCAACATGGCGAATTATGTAAAATACATTGCAAATCATTATGGCAAAAATTGTGTGGTAGTTTTTGACATTTACGAAAGCGAAAATTAGAAAGAAATCGATGCACAAAACATGCAGCCTCAGATAAGACTTTTTTTTTCCTAAAAGTATGACGCTAAAAATAAATGAAGATAAATTCTTACTAAATACAAAGAATAAATTCAAACTATTCAAATGTTGTCTAGTAAACTGGCCGAGGTTGGCAATAATTCAATTACATGTACAGCCGATGCTAATCGAACTATTGTGATGACAGCTATAGAAATCACTAAAAAATAAAAGTAAAAAGGTAGTAATAGTTAATGAGGATACTGATGTTACAGTTTTAGTCAATCCTTTAACACTTTTATTTAAAATTTTTTATACTTAAACCCGCTCGTACAAATAAGCTCTAAGAATTGTATTCCTCAAAAAGTTTATAGCATGTTCCAAGCGATTCACAAAATGTTTTATTACTATATGCCATAACAAGATGTGATACGGTTTCAGCTACATATTACCACGAAAAAATAAAATTTGTGAATGTTTTTCAGAAGATTAAAGATTTAATTGTACACGCAAACAAATTTAAAGAACATGCTTAGAGCTATAAATATTACGCGAATTTAAAAGAAAAAATGTTTCTAATTCTGATTTTTTTTAAAGTTATATCAGCCATGAAATGTGTTATCATGTGGATAGTAACTTAAAAACTGGGGGATTAGAGAATTTTCGGACAACATTTTTAAAAGTTTATGTTACTAAACAAATGTTTTCCTATTTTTTTTCTTGTTTGAAAGTAATTGAAGCCCTCAGTTTTAGTGTGATTATATGGATGATAACACTACTAGTGGCTATCATATTTACAAAAAAATTTGACTTAAAAACATTTTTTCTTTGAAATTCGCTCAAAATTTATTGCAATAAACACCTACATTTTACAGCCAATAATAATTACAGGTACATTGTAGTTGATTATAGCTATAAATGTAGATTTTTACAGTTATAATTAAAGCTACAATTTATAGCTAAATTTTCAGCTAATAATTTTTACTGAGTTGTAATGTAAAATTTTTTTTTAAATAAACCTTAAAATTTTTCAACATTAACAATCTAAAACAACATTTTTATATGTCCTTGCTGAATATGTATTCGTATTCAGCGACCCTAGAAACCTTCGAGTAAGTATTTTGGTTTGGTATTTTATAAATCAGAGGCAAAACTCCAAAAGACAACGTGCCTGACGCCCATCTTCGGCCTTAGGTGCCTCAGACGCCAGCACCGTCACCAACTGCATAATCGTGCTCAGCGACCCTTAAAACCCCCTTGCAAAAAAATAGACTTATTTCTATAACTATTTATTAAAAATGTATTAAACAACTATTTTCACAAAGTTTTGGCACGGCATTACGAATCGAATGCAAAAAATCTCGTCGCAATCCATCTTATTGCGTCAATTTGAGCTTGTTCGGCCTGATTTTGTACTTTATTTCTTCGACTAATATTTGTATTAGAATATTCATGTAGGGGTAAGTGTACCTATCTCCGTGGCACGTACTGAAAATTCCAACTTAAATGCACCATAAAAAATAGTATACTAAAATTTTTTGGAATATTTTTTTTTTTTAATCTTACATAATCTCTTACGGAATATTTAAAAAGATTTTATGAAGCGAAAACTGCAGTAGAATATTTTTAAAACGAATAAAAACGGTATGCTGGTATTACCGTGGTTGTATACCTATTACCGTGTACGTATTACCGTGTACGTATAGGGTTATGTTTACGTACGCTCACCGCGGAAATACGTACACAATCAGTTAATTGCTTCTACATTAACGTCATTTTAGATTATTAAAATTGAAAAATTATTTTATATGAAACGTTTCTTATTTTGAGCAAGTAATCATCAGTTTTTCAAAATCCACGGTAATAGGGCAGAGCACGGAGATAGGTACACTTACCCCTAT